ACGTTACGATATAGATGTACGGCAGACCGACGGCGCTGTATATAATATCGGCTACAGACGTAGCGGTCATCAGCGCCCGAAACGTCATTCGCTTGCGGTACGTGTCCTGCCGAATGGTCAGTATGACCAGCAACGAGCCGACGATGCCCAGCAAGTAGAAGGAGAAGTATGTCGCAGTGGCGAACGTGTCTTTGAACCACTTCACCAGGTGTAGGCCGTCGACTGTGCTGTTCCACGCCTGTTGTGTAAAGTTTTCCCAAGGCCATACGTCGAAATTGCTCCGGAACCTATCGGATTCACTGTTATAGCGAATCCAGCTGTTAGAATCGCCACAGTGGAAAAACATGTCACCACCGTCACGCCTGTCAAATTCGTCTAAAACGCTCCAATGGGTGAAAGCACAGAAATGCGAGTTAGAAATTTCCATTGTAACAGAATGTTAGACACGTGTTTTTCAGGGCGCACAGAGGAAACACCATGGGAAGGCGACGGCTCAAACATATGCAACGATAGGAGGCCGGCTTCTTTGTCAAGGTGCCCAGCAGAACGAAAGAATGAAGGCGAGAACCGGAGGCGGTTCCCGTATATTGGACAGAACGCACGCGGATTGGCGAGCCGGCGAAGATATAAAAAAAGCTTATAGGAACGAAAAGAGAAATACGTACCGTTTTCGAGTGCGTTGTTATGTGCAATAAAAGTTGTCATACTTAAACTTATGGGTGCCTGATTTTCTTTACACGGCCACACATCTACGATGTACCGAAAGTGAAGCCTCCTGACCCACCAGAACCTCTTCGGAAATCGGCTGCACGATCCGAGTGAATTGAAAACTCTCATTTAACGACATGATGAAAGAAATATAAGGAAGATTATCGACCACTTGTTGTTTTTATCCTTCAATACCCCCATTACTTATTTCATAATGTTATAGGTTTCAGACATCTTTGAAATAAAGCTTGAGTATTATTTCAGCATAAGTTAAAAAAGTTTTATTAATATCTAATTAAGAGCTCTTTGAAAAAAGAATTTG